AAAAAAAGTACAAGCAATCGTTTTACCATTCAGATGTGAAACCTCAAGTCACTTTACGTCTTTTAACAAACCTACATCTTGTTGACTTGTTCTTAGAAGCATTTTTTGATTCTTTCCTTTCTGCACATCTACCGCCTAGCTCAATGCATAACCTCAGGTGCTAGCAGCCATACTGGTTTAAACAGACCTTCTCTGCTTCCAGTATAAAAAATATAGTGCAGGGCTTGTAGATGGGAGGATAAAGTGGCTGGATGTTGGAACATGGCTGACTGTGCAGTGTGGTTCTAGACCCAGTGGCTTACAAAAATAGGCTGGGCCTGTGGGCACACATGCCCAAAAATTCCAAGAGGAGAATGGAGGAGAAGGGATAGTGGTGTGGCCATCCCCCCTGGGGGTAATTTCTCACTTTATCTTTCTCTCTGCCCCTTTGTTTCTCCCTGGCAAGTGTATGAGCCCTCTGGCAAAATTTTTAAAAATAAATAAAAATACAGCACATAGAAGTATGTACAGTGTATGGGACCAGCAGATGGCGTAATGGTTACGTCACTGGACTCACACGTAGTGGATCATGGTTTGAGTACTGGGACCCAGCAGCTTAAAACTCACGAGAGGCACGTATATACACGTGCCCCAAGTCCCAATAGGAGAATGAAGAAGGGATTGCGGTGTGGTCATTCCCCTGGGGGGGGGGGATTTCCTGCTTTCTGTCTCTCTGCCTCTCTCTGTCTCTCTGGCGAGCACATGCACCCTATAGCAAAAAATAATCTCTCTCTCTGAAAAGAAAGGTACCATAAAACAGTGCGCCCTGTTATGCCAACAGCAGCCTTACGTCTCATGCTGACTGCATCTGTTGATCGCTTCATTTGTGCCTGTGCTTGATCTAATGTCGTGTTGTTTTGTTCATCCGGCCCTTTTAATGGGACAAGATGTGAAGGTAGAAGATAGTGATACTGAAGATCCAGACCCTGTGTAGGCCTAGACCAGTGTCTGTGCGTTTAAGATTTTAACCAAAAAAACGTAAGTTTATTCTTACTCATGTTAGAAAGAAGGTGTGCATGCATGCAAAAGAGAGAAGGGGATGCACTCTCGACAGGGTCTTCCCATGCCGTGACCCCTTCCCCCAGCCCTCCAGCTAGTCAGAATCTCGGGCCCACATGTGCACCCCTGGCGTTCTTCAGGTCACTTGGCCTGAGGACCTAAACCTGTGATCAGCCCTGTGGCTTCCAGCACTTGAGCTCAGTGAGCTATTATATCTTTATCAAAAAAAAAATTTTTAAATACATGTATATTTTTTGTTTGTTTGGTTTTGTTTTATTTTGGGTTTTTACCAGGGGGTATGGGTACTCACTGTACAGAGAGGGAAAGTGAGAGATCCCCTCTCCGCTCCATGGAATGGCCATGCTGTGGTCCTTTCTCCTCTTGGGATCCTGGGCATGCATGAGTGCCCGGTGAGACTGTCAAGCCACCGTGTTTGGGACTCGAAACATGTTGGCTCTGTGGGAGTCTACCCCCACACTACCTGTTGGCCCCTCATCTTTATGTCTTAGCTAAGTGTTATTACAAAAGAGTCAAAAGTTTTAAAAACGTCAAAGTTTATAAAGTTTACAATAAACTAAGATGAATTTATTAGTTAACAAAAATATTGATTTTATAAATTTAGTGTAGCCGGGACCAGCAGGTGGTATGGTGGTTAAGGCGCCGGACACTCTCACATGGCTGACCACGGTTTGAGTCCCAGACTTCGTGGGTTGCCTTCCCACTTTCCCTCTCTCTTTCTGGTTGAATTAAAATAAATAAATGAATACATAAAATTAAAAAAAAATAAATTTAGTGTAATCTAAGTGAACGGTGTTTATAAAGTCTATTGTAGCGTATAATAACATCCTTCACGTCCACTCGTCATTCACTCAGACTCACCAGGAGCAACTTTCAGTCCTGTAGGTTCCTTTCATGACGAATGTCCTATACAAGTGGACCATTTGCTATCTTTTATACTACAGTTTTACTGCACATTTTAGATAAGTTTAGATGCACAAGTTCTTGCCATCGTGTTTCCGTGGCCTACAGTATCCCACGGTAACATGCGGTACAGGTTACAGCCTACGGCCTGTGCCATAGAGCCTCGGTGAGTGGTAGGCTATACCATCCAGGTTTGTGCAAGCTCACTCTCTGATGGCTGTACAAGGACAAGATCACCTCAGTATACGTTTCTCAAAAGGTATCCCCATCAGTAAGTGACTCACGACTGTATTTCATCAAGACACGTCCCTGCTCCAGAACCAGATGAAAAGTCCCTTCCTGACACACAGTGAAGTCCAAACTCTAAGACCAGGACTTGAAGGCCCATGTTCAATACTGTTAACTGCCTTCTCGCCCAAACCCACCCTTCCTGCACTTACTCTTCTGCAGGCTTCAGAAGCTTCTAAGGTCTATCCAGTGGTCTGACCACCAGAGCCACATACATTTATTACTACAGAATCTTAAAATTATTTTTAAACATTTTATCAAGTTTAAAGAGTAACTTATTTAATTGAACTCAGATTTAAACACTATGAAAAGGCTTCTAAATGTACTCTATTGCTACCTAAATTCTGAGTCAATCAGGTTTGCTTGCCTATAAACTGCCAGACCTCCAACTTCCACATTGCAAAGTTTCTACTGCTCCAAGAGATCTACCGGTTCTTTTTTTTCTTTTTTTTTTTCTGGAGAGGTTTTGGCTATAGGGCGTGTGTGCTCACCAAGAAAGACAGAGAGAAACAGAGAGACAGAAAGACGGAAAGTGAGAAATCACCACCCAGGGGGATGGTCACACCACAATTCCTTCTCCATTCTCCTCTTGGGATTGGGCATGCAAGCATATACACCCAGCGTGAGTTTAAGCCACCAGGTCCGGGACTCGAACCGCGGTCAACTACATGGGAGTCCAGCGACACAGCCATTACATCAACTGCTGGTCCCTCCATTAGTTCTTTTCATTGGGATCCTTGTGATAAGCTTCATGTCTAAATGGAGTTTAGGAGGCCAGATCTCATTACAGCCTTGCAGACCACTATAACATTTTAGCTTCAATTCAGAATGACATGGGCCTCTAGAAAATTCTATGCAGACAAAGGAGTGCCATGGTCTGACTTCTATTTTAAAAGGATCACTCTGATAGAACTAACAAAATTTATTTGAGTGAAATGTGGTGTTCAAGAAAAAATGAGGTATTGGGGCCAGCAGGTGGCATAGTGGTAAAGGCACTGGACTCTCACATGGCCAACAACAGTTCCAGGCCCAAAACTGGTGGCTTGAAATTGGCACTGTGTGCATATACGTGCATGCCTAAAATCTCAGGAGGAGCATGGAGGAGAAGGAATTGTGGCATGGCCATCCCCCAGGGGAGGGGATTCTCATTTTCCCCCTCTCTGTCTCTCTTTGGCAAGCACATATGCCCTATGTCAAAAATCTAAAAAATAGATTCATTAAAAATTTTTAAAATAAAAACAAAGTATGCATGTAGTACATGATAATCAGATCAAAGATATTACCATATATGTCCCTTTCAACAGAGAAACTTACGCTTTTTTGTCTGTTGTTTTTTCCTTTTGCCCCTCCCACCCACCACAAGAGTGAGGATTTTTAATGATGGTATAAATAATAGCTTGTCTATATGCTGATGAGAATGAGCCCTAACTCATGGGGCAAATTATGGAAAGGAGAGAGTAGGCAGAATTATTAGACTGATACGCCTGAGGAGGGTGAGACGAGGTGGGATCCCGGGCACAAGAGGAAGGTTTGGTGAGAACTTACAAAGTCTCCTCGCTCTACCGGGAGAGGGAACAGGGTACACAGGCCCAGGTACAGGTGGGAAGGTAGGCAGGCAGCAGGTGGCAAGAGCTTATGGAAATTCTCTTCTGATTGCTTCCTCTCCTTAAAGAAACAAGATGCAAAGCCTTCAGCAAGGGAGCAAGTGTGGAGAGGGAGTGCTCAAGGGTGGAGAAGAGAAAAGAACTTCTAGGAGGGGAGGTGTGAGAACAGGCTGAGGAAATACCAGACTGAGTCGAGGTAAGTGATGAGAAATGAAAGGCGCGGGGCTCTGCAGAGCTGCGTGATCCCAACCACAAGAACATGAGCACGGAATAGGCGGAGCACAGGCTTAGAGCCGCTGCACTGTGAGCCTGGAGCAAGACGAATCCAAAGAGGAGTGAGGAAGCTAAGCATGTCGGCACCAGGTTGGGTCCAGTGAGTGACGGTGGCATTCAGGCCAAGGAAGGCGGGCGTGGAAGACCTTGGGAGGTGAAGCTCTCTCATCAGTGCAGTGGAAGTGAACATCAAACAGAGGAGATGATGGTCAGAGTGAGACCCCTGGCAAGAAGATGATGCATTGGTAATGACATGCGCCGGGTTATATCAAGGCCATTTCAGGAGACAGGATCAAGGACAGAGATGTCAGCATGTTAGAAAGGACCCTGATGGCAGCAGAAGTGTCACCGACAGTGAAAACGAGCCAGGCACTAAAACGACCACAAAACATGGGGCTGCGATCCCAGCAGATGACTGTCAATGAAGGGGATTTAGAGGGAAGGAGAATAACCGGGAAGTACCGATGAGATGCCAGGAGGGCCCCACACCCTACCTCCAGCTCTGTTGGGTCGTTGGGAAAAGTCATGACGCATTTTTTAAAAAAAAACAGTACCAGAGGAAAAAGAAACCTGCGTCCTGTGTGGGAAGGCAGACGCTACTGCACACAGCGCCACCTACCGGTGCGGCTCAGCATTCTGGCCTCTGCTGCACCACATCCCTTTCTGTCCGAATTCTCCCACCTCAGTCACATTCTCTCACACCCAGTGGAAGACTAGGGAACCAGATGTACTTGGCTCCATACACCAAGGGGAGAAAGCTCCTGACATCACGGGACACCGAATTCTTTCATTCCTCATAAACCACTAATTTCTATCTATCTCTGAAAACAGTTGGAACGTTGCCATTTTCAACAGGTCAATTTACAGAATACTTACCAAGCACGTAGAGTGAGAACCTGGCAGTATCTTTAATGCCTGGGGATTCGATTTCATACTCGCCCTCATCTTCTGAGGTCAAATCGGAGATAGTGAGGGCACCTGTCTTAGTGTCTAAATGGACCCTTTTTTCAAAAGGTGGGAACTCTTTGTATAGGATGGCTTCTTCCCATTCCACAACTTTATCCTTTTGCTTTTTCCAAAGGATTTCTTTAGAAGGCACATAGTTTGATGCATGGAATGTCACACTCCCATTCACAGGTTTGTATGCCAGGAAGGGCTCACAACTGACGAAACCTAAGAGGAGAAAAAAATTGGTTAGAAAAAAAAAAATAGCATGTCTTTATTGATAAAAGAAAAACATCTTAAATGCTCTTGGGGAAAAGAAAGTTAAATTTAGTGGCAGAAATTATTCACCAAGACCTTTTAGTGCTAAGCCGATACTCTGCTGAGAGGAAGCAGGACATGCTTGACCGTGTCTCACTGACTCGTTAATAGAGAGTCAGGGCCCACGGAAGTCCAAGAAACGGACTGAACCCACGTGGAGCACCCACTGTACTCCAGGTACCATGGGGTGTCTAGGAAGGTGGCAGCCGCCAGGGGCATCGCTCTAGGCCCTCTAGGAGTTCCCATCTTGTGGAGAAGACAGGAGCAGGCTGTACCCGAGGGGCACACCACCCAGCTCAGGGTCTCCCTGAGAAAGTCATGCTGAAACTGACAACGAACATGTAAAATCACTGAAGGCTGAAGAGGAGTGGGCGGTGAGGGTGGGGCTGGCAGAGAGATGATCACACAGATAAATGGGGGCATCCAGATAAGAAAGCCCTGATTCAAGCAAGAGTCCAGTATGTGGGAGGAAACGAGAACAGTCCCACGTGGCCAGAGTGAAAGGAGCCAGGGGAAGCGGGGAAGGAGGCTAGAGAGGCAGATGGCACCTGACCAGGGTCTATGCGGGTGTGTCAGGGAAAGTGGGCTGAGGGTTTGGACTTGCCTAACAGCACGGGGAAGCCACAGAAAGGCTGAAACCACGGACTGGCTGACATAGCCCAGTTTCACTGGACAGATCCCTCTTCGGAGTAGAGAGTGATGGACAGGCATGAGCAGAGGGGCAGACACTGGTCCTGAGAGTGTGGAGGGCCACGTGGACTAGACCAGAGTGTGGTGGTGGGGATGGGCGGATGGGCAGCCTCCGGGGAAGTCTGAGAGATGCATCAAGAGGATCTAGTGACTGGATGTGAGGGAGAGGGCGAGGGAGCAGACAGCGGTGACTGTCAGCCCTCTACCCTGGCTGACCGAGAGGTCTCATTAATTGACATCAGAAGCGATGGCTGGGAAGCAATCCAGGGGGTGAAGATTTAGGACTTCCTAGGAGCCGGGTTCAGGGTGTACGGAAGCTGGCTCCAACCCACGCTCACAGGCCAGTTAGCACCATGTCCAGCCCCAAGCAGTGCAGTCCAGTGGTCAGCCTAAAACCCCTGCAGTGGGAGTGTTAGATGGAGACGAATCCTCCAAATCAGAGCCTCTCTTCTTCCTCCACACAAATACGGCTGTTAAACCGTTTTAGCGCCACGAGAGTGGGTGTTTTTGTTTGTTTTTAAGAGAGATTTTTGCTATAGCACATGTGCATTCACCTGAGACAAAGAGATAAACAGGGAGACAGAAAGCAAGAAATCATCCCCCAGGGGGGATGGCCACGCCACAAGCCCTTCTCCTCCATTCTCCTCGCAGGATTTTGGACACATAAGCACACATGCCTAGTGAGACTTTTAAGCCTCTGAGTCGAGGACTCAAATCTCACTTCCTCTCTCTCTGTTTCTCTCTAGTGAGTGAACATGCCCTGTAGCAAATTAAAGGTGATCATTAATGATAAATGGAATTAAATAAAAAATTATTTAAAAAAAAGCAGCTATTGAGACTGGCAGTTGGTGTAATGGCTATGTCACTGGACTCCCATGTAGTCGACTGTGGTTCAAGTCTTGGATCTGGTGGCTTAAACTCATGCCAGGCGTGTGTGTGTGTGTGCCCAAGATCCTGAGAGGAGAATGGAAGAGAAGGGACTGTAGCGTGGCCATCCCCCCTGGGGGATGATTTCTCGCTGTCTCTCTGTCTCTCTCTGTCTTTCTAGCAAGCGCATGTGCCCTATAGCAAAAACCTCTCCAAAAAAAAAGCAGCTATTTAGGGTTAACATTAAAGATAAGTTAAAACGTGGGGCCAGACAGTGGCTCAGTAATAACACAATTCTCTACAACGCTGAATCCACATGGAAAGGTGTGAGGTCCGTGTCCCAGGACCCCCCTGAGCACACCAGTCATGTGTCATGCTTGTGATCTGGCCTAGCTGACGCTGGTGGTGGTTCATGTCATGAAGACACTGTCGGGGGCCCCACTCTCTCTCTCAGAAGAAATGAGACAAAACAAGATAAATTAAAACTTAATTAAAGTTCTTGCCTAGGAACAGTCAGGGTGATTGAAAAAGCACAGGGAAAATCAAAAACATTAATAGACTATTATAGGCCACTGTGTTTAGTAATTTCAAATAAGAAGCAAATATCCCCCATTTGTTATTTGCAAGGATTTTTGGAATCCACCTCCCTTAATTAAGAGGGATCAGATTTTTCCTTAAAAACGCCAGCGTCTTTCTGTTGCCTTGCCGATCATACAGTACCCAGTAGAGTATATGGAAGGGAGATGAAAAATAGCAGCATTTGAGGGAAACGAACAGACATGTAAAGTCTATCCATACACAATAGCAGAGGTTCAAAACCATATCATGAATGAGTGAACAAATGAATGAGAGCCATAGGGTAGTGGTGGAGGAGAACAGAAATGACGTGGACTGCCAGGCACTGGACGGCTGCATAGGACGCCTCTGTCGGTCCCAGGTAGAGGTGAAGATTCTGGGGCTGGAGGACAACGAGATGGAAGTTCCGGAAGGAGCTAGTAGTGGAGAGATGAGGGTAAGAGAAACGAGAGACTGCAGCTCAGAATACACCAGTTATCTTGATTTAGAAGAAGCTCTAAAAATCAGCCACATTGCCCCCACTTGGTGAAGTGACAAGCATAAAGAAACTGTGGTGCCTACTCTCTGCTGGTTATGTGTCCACGCCCTCACTCCCCTGTAATCTGCTCCACACCTATGAGCAGTAGGTGTTGCTGAGCCCACTACAGAGGTGAGGAAACCAGGTCCGGACTCAAAGCGCAGCTGACCACATGGGAGTCCAGCAATGTAACCATTATGCCATCTGCTGGTCCAATACCTCTATAATCTACATTAACAACTCAGTTTATTTTTCTCCCTATTCAAAGAACGACAAATATGTATACATATATACAATATATCACATGTATATGTATTATAATGCACACATACAAGAGATTTTTCACTGTTTAATAAAAAAAGGTCTTAGGCGGCACATTTCTCTGCATCTTCTTTTCTCACCAGTAATATCTCATAAAAATTCCACCTAATCTGGGAACCAGCAGTTAGCGTAATGGCTATGTTGCTGGACTCCCACGTAGTCGACAGCGGGTCTTGTCCCAGACCCGGTGGCTTAAAACTCATGCCGGGCATGTGTGCGTGCGTGCCTAAGATCCC